GTGCTTATTAATGCGGGAATAAAATTCAATGTACGACATTCCACGTTAATGCCATATAATCAGGGATTTCGCGCGCGAAACGTCGCTGCAATCGTGGACCTGAAGAGGGTGAGAGAACTCAAAATTTGATTCTCTTTCGTTTGGACCAGTTCACGACCTTATGACAGCAGGAGAACTAGAAACTGAGATGTTTATCTCGCATCAGGGTGTACCGAATGGACAATCTTTGGATCTGAAAATTATACCCCGTATTCTCTCAAAGTAGGGGAAACCGGGGCTGATTGGTTACCGAAGTAAATTGGCAAAATCGGTTATTACTCATGTTTTCTAACAAGTTAAATGAAGCATTTCTAAAAATGTCAAAGATGGCTTTAAGATTCCTGCTTGCTTGATCCTGAAATCTGTTAAAGAACAGTAAAACTAATCGATTTTACCAACTTATCCCAAATAGCACCGTCTTCCCTACTCTCTCTATATTTCTTGAGATGATAAATCGCTTGATAAAAGTGGCTGTATTTTCGCTTAAAGCAACAGTAAAAATACTATCACTCGAGGTCGCAAGAGTGAAGCACTTGAACTTAGAGTGAATTCGCATTCTATCCGAGCGAATATTTCAGTCGACTGACGATAAAATATGCCAGATTCGCTCTTCAGTTTCGAATGAAAATAATCACTCGGCGACTCCGAGTAAAGGTTTCGCTCTATATGAGCGAGAAATCACTCAGATTCGCGTAGCTCGGTGAGCCGTTCTGCTCTTTGAGTAAAACTTCACTCCAGGAAATTCGGAGAGCTTGAATCTCTCGTCAGTTTTCTGCTCTATGCGCATCCCGAAAGTACTACCGATACCGATACTGACGGGAGCAGCTTGCCGGAAGTCTTAAGCTCGTCAACTAGCCGGCGCACGCGGGGGCGCAGCCGACTTCGACTTGGGCCCCTCTTGGAGCCACTCCGAAAAGATTTGCGAAGTAGCGAATCGAGAAGATCTTCAGGAGCATTCCTGCGCCGGCGACGTGTACTCGCTGTCTCGCTGTCTTGCGACGGCCGCGACATATATCATTCGAACGGTCGGGGAAACTGGTTCGCTTACTTATTGGCCTACTTTTTATGGAGGGAAGCGAGTACGCTCTGTACGGAGTGGAGCGGAGCTGACCCGAGCGAGGCGTGCGGTGGGGTTGACGGTGATCGCCCGGGGCCGTTGACCAGCTGATAAAGTTCATCGCGAGGACGAGGAGGAAGACGCGAGGTGATCGGCATCGCCGGTAGCGCGCCGCGCCGTGGTCGACATTGTTAGCCAAATCATACGTATCGCGTTACCCTTCTATTACACTTGCCTGCCCCCGTTCTCGGGGATTCCGTCGGCGCTACCTCCCAACGAGGAGCACCTGAGGAGGATACCGACCGATCGGTACTCCGCGCATTCGGAATCGTGAGGCAGGAGTTACGGTTGATCTGAACGAATTAGTGCTCGCCATATTCTGATGACTGACCTTCTGATTGACTCGAGTGACTCGGGTAATTTCTACTTTGAGATTGAATCCTCCTATTATTGTCGGATCAAGCCTGAAAGTATGTTCAGCATGTTGAACGTTGGTCGATGTATCGTAAGGGATGTATTGCGGAATCAAATTTCCCAGGCCACTCCACTCGTAGAATTCGTTTTCACGTATTATCCCATATATTAATATATAAATATTAACGTGATAGATATTAACGTGATTTTTATTAAGATTTTAGTACTTTTCCGGGAATAGATTGGCACTATGATGGAAATAAAACATAGTAAAAGTGACCATGAATATATTAGGACCTTAACTTAGTTTCCGCCCGCAAATGTTAGATGGCAATGCAAACAGTTCTAGTAGTCATTACTAACGAAACAGGTAGTTTGTGATTAATTTCGACATTTCTCGATAACATTCAGTCAGCATACACAATTATTTTCCTAAACAACAATTTCTTTTGCTTTGTGAAAAATGGAACGCGATAAAGTGTTTTTTCGACATGTGCTTTTGCACTATTTTGATTTGAAAAAAA